AAAAGTGCATCGTTCCTGTTGAAACTGTTCTTTCTCTGTCTGACTGTTATGAAACGCAATACCAGATGCAAATCAAAATATTTACCAAGCAACGTTAACGCGGTTTGGTTGTGTAATTTTGTCGTTGGCCAGAGGCCAGAGAGGGAAGAAATCTTTTTACGAACATCAAAAGTAGGTAATCGTGCCTGAATGTATTAGATTTGACGAGCATGTGCTCGGAATTGAGTGAAACGCCGGTTAGCACAAGTGCAGCGATTAATTTATACGGCGCCTGACAAACATCTGGACTGCTCGGTAAAAGAGACTATACTGCATTGTCATCAACATTCACTGAGCGTGGTCACCTTCAAAGTTACTATCCTCCTGACTTTACACGCGCGTTCCAAGGTATCTGCCATGCCTGAAAACAATGATGAAGTATTTTCAGTACTTAAGTGATTTGAGGTGGTGGAGACGTCGAAGTTTGACTTCTGGATTATGATGCTGTTTGGACTTGTAGGTAGATAACCAGTGTGTTGAGCAAACGTACTGTCTCCAGCATCAACTTCATATTCGGAAAGTCCTGGGCTCAAATGTCGGCCGGATAATTTTGAATTTTTTCGTAATTTTCCTGATTTCTCCAGGCAAATGCCGGCGTAGTGCCTTAAACTAGGTCACGATCGCTTTCTTCCACAAATTTCCTGTGTATTATTCTGTAATCATGTTTTGTTCGACGCTGTATATTCTAAGCTGTTGATAGCGTTGTTAAATGAACCGTGAATGATTAGATGATTGAGTATTAGTGAACTGTTAATGGACAATCATGGTTCGTATAGGCTATCTGTGTCAGAGCGAGTCCTGTCTGTGGATGTGAAATCTGCAAGAAAGCACTCGAGGAAAACTTATCACAGATTACGCATATCCGCGTTCATGGCCTTTCCCCCCCTTTTTTATTTTGAAAGTACAGCCAGTGACGGCATGCCTATAAATATTCCGGATGCTGCTTAAAGGAATAATAAACAGGCATCAGGTTAATGTTTGCCGACTTATGAATGCATTTTTTCTGGACTGCTGGGCGCCAACGGGTTTGT